ATAGCAGTAAAGAGAAAAAGACAACACTGCGCACACAAATAAAAGTAAATTAAAGCAAATCTGACTGACTTTATGAATAAAAGCAAAAGAAACTGAGGTTTTGCCAGTGGAAACTGATCCACAAAAACCCGGCATCAGTAGATGACTTCCCTATTTATGAAACTGATGCTTAGGTAAAGTTCCAGAAAAAACCCGTCTTTAGGTTTCCCTTTTTATGAAACTGATGCTTAAATAAAGCCGCTCCATAAAAACCCGTTATCAGACTTTCCTATTTATTGAACTGATGCTTGGGTAAATCCGTCCCACAAATGCCCGTCATTAGCCCTTCCTACTTACGAAACTGATGCTCAGGTAAAGCTGTCCCTCAAAAGCCCGTCATCAGGCTTCCCTCTGCATGAAACTGATGCTAAGGCAAAGCCGTTCCACAAAAACCAGTCATCACTAGGAAACCTTCCTATTTATGAAACTGATGCTCTGGTAAATTTGTCCCACAAAAACCCGTCACTAGGCTTCCTTATTTACGAAACTGATGCTTAGGTAAAGCTGAGAGCTAATATGTTCCATGAAGTGACCAAGAGCAGAGTAGACTGGATTCACGGGGATGAAGTCAGCCTTCACTTCTGTGAGAGTTCGATGGGAAAAAATTGACGTATAACTGTTATGTACAGTTACAGGCTGCGGGAAGCAACACTGTGGAATTGTCTGCAATTCTTGTGTAAATCCAATCGAACTTATTTCCCCTCAGCTTCACCTAAGCATAAGTTTCAGTAAATCCTGTCAAACTCATTTGCCATCAGCTTCATCTAAGCATAAGCTTCAGTAAATCCTGTCGAACTTATTTGCCTTCAGCTTCACCTAAGCATAAACCTCATAAATGCGGGGATAGCTTACTGAAGGCGGGTTTTTGTAAAACAAATCCTACTCACACAAGCTCAGTTTTTGTTTGCTTTTGCTTTTTTTGCTTTTAGTTACAAGCTCCAATTCTTTGATTTTGCTTTTTTCCTTTTATTCACAAAATCACGTTTGTTTTAATTTACTTTTCTTTGTAGTGCCGTGTTGGTTTATTTTCCTCTTTACTGCCATCTGCACTTCTTGCTTCGAATTCCTGACTAGCACCTTCTTCCTCTCCAGTATCCTGGCCCCAATCCCTGCCTTCAGAGCCGCATCGGGGCACCTGCCACCTCCAACCACTGTCACCGTTTATCGTCCTAAACTCCTAACCAGCAGCTTCATTCCTCCCCATTACACTGCCCTCAATCGCACCCTCTAAGTTGTATCTAGGCAACTACCAATCAGCACCCCCCAACCACATCCAGTCCTCTCACCCATTATCCCCCGCTAGCGATCCAGCCGCCAGACACTAGGCAGTGGTACCCAGCGCGTCTGGCAAAGTGCCAAGCTGCTTCAGCGAGTGACGCAGTGAAATACTGTTGGCAGAGATGTTAGAGCGCTTTCCAAACATCATCGATCATTAGCCGAGCCGAGATATTACAGTTGCCAGGAAACGTTAAAACAAAGCCAATATGTGCCCAGGTGTTTAACTGTAATGGTTTCGGGGGCTACTTATAAAGCCATGAGCTGAACGTTGCATGTTTGTCGCAAAAACGCATGATCGTGCTGGCAAGCCTAGTGCGTGGCAGTGGGGTTATTATTATTATTCCATCATCTCCCAGATACCAGTCCGTTATAAATTTATATTCAAATTACCTCTTTACACTACTTTTAATTTATGAACATCATAACCGCCGTACTGACGTGATCCAGTTATGGCGCTGATACGAAAGTATTCGACTTATTACAACCGAAACATTCCTGTTCATTTTTTTTTAGATTTTATACATATATCATCAGTATCTTTATTACACCTGTGTTAACTGTGCTGCCATAACTCAGTTTTATCCCAATGGTCTGGATAGTGAACTACGAACAAACATTCAAAACACAAAAAGAATTTTAGAAAAATTTCGTCATGACCATTGACATTAGCGTGTGGAACAGAACACCGCACCTTCCTTCCTTTTCACCTATACCACCTATGTCTCATTGTTGCACAGTAAAATCAAACCTTTTCTGAAAAATTAGAACAAAAGATGAGCAGTGGGAGGTCAATGAGGCAGAAGCAGGAGGATCGGACAAACGAGCGAGCAGACACCTTACCGCAAGTAGCACAACAAGAGCATGTACTTACGATAGCCACAGTGTGTGATTAAGGAATCAGTGGCGACTCGCACCAGCCGACCCGATGCGATCATGCGTTTTTGCGCTATTTCGCGTTGCAACAAGATTGCAAGGCGTCCTATTAGTTAGAATTTGTGATATTCTGATCCTCGAAGTTCAGGAAGATAATTGTGCAGCTGTTTGGTGTGACAGTTGTAGCTGTCGGCTGCAATGACTCGACAAACAGGAAATTGCTGGTGCGCGAAAAAGATTCCATGTAAAGAGCTCAATCTGAAATCTTTTAATCGCACATGAATGGGGAATATCCCCTCAAAATTCCAGCCTTCCCGCTTTTCTTTTTCCGAGTTAGCAATTTTCCCGCTAAAAAAGATTTTCACGTGCCCGTACGTGAAACTCGAGTGGTTCTAAGGAGTTGGTGAATAAGGGACATTCCCTTAAAATTTCAGTCTTCTAGCTTTTCTCTTCCCTGGGTTAGCAATTTTCCCTCCAAATTTTTCACGTATATGGCCATGGACGGTTCTAAAGAGTTGGATTTGAAGTCTATTAATCGTACGTGGGTAGGGAATAGCAATTTCCTCGCCAAAATATATCAAAACCAGGAACGGAAAAGTGGAGAACATTCCTTTAAAATTCCATCTTTCTAGCTTTTTTCGTTCCCAAGTAAGCAATTTTCCAGCCAAAACTTTCAAGTGTCCGTACATAGGATATAGAAGCGCGTGACAGTCGATATCACGTCGCTGGGGTCGCACTTGGCCAGAGAACACACTGTCAAAATTCCAGTATCAAAGCTTGCGTGGTTGCTGAGTAAAAATACCCAGACAAACGAACACGTGCACATTCAAAAAATATATACACACAATCAGTGTCGTCGCAATATGCGTTTTTGCTACTTGTTGTAGTGTTCTAGCGAAGAAGATAACCGAAAAGGAAGACAACCGAAACTAAGGTAAGGAGTGAAACGCGAGTACAACATCTAAAGACTCTATATACATGCAGAATCTGGTAAGAACAGGACTGGGGTGGAGTCCGTCAATCCCGACTGTCATTTAAGCAAACTAAGTGCTGTCCAGAAGTAGTCGGAAACAAAATAAGAATATGAAGGATGTGGGGAACAGAGAGATGAGTAACAATGGTTCCAGAAGAATGCTACAGATTATGACTGTGTTGGTGCTACTGGAAAACGGAAGAAGCAATACGGTGTATTTCCATATATCAGAACACGGAAGGATCAACACGTTGAGTTTCAGCCTTTGCCTCCTTACACAGCTCGACGGTATGCTATAAAAACTTGTTTCCAAACTCCCACCACTCTAAAACTGAACTCTTTAAGCGGACAAATAGACAAATATATATGCAGAAATTTTTTACAGTGTTGCGCTTTTTAACGTAAAGATGCTCTGAAACAACAGGGATGCATAAAAAGCAGTGTTAATGATAAAATTCGTTAAAGTTACCTGCGGGTATGCCAGAGGAATTGGTACCCAGTCATAGTTACACAGCATCTGAATATTGTAGCGGAAATTTTTGATTTCCTACGAAAAAAATCCGTAATAATAACCGTTTTCAAATTAAAGTAAGAAAGCACCAAAAAGTGATCGCTGTGTAGATCATCACTTATTTGCTATTTCTAGGAAAAGCTTTCATTAATAATATCAAAGCCATGTACGTAAATCTGGTTCTGCAAAGAACTACCAAATTTCTGCACTCAGAAATTAGTAAAATTAACGGACATGATCTTTATGATAAACAATATGCAAAACATAGATTTAGCAAAGTCTATGCGTGCAGTATTCCGTGCCCAATACTAACCTATAGGCAGAATGCCGAAACCGAAAGTCCAAGTTCACGCAACATCCCAGATCCTAACCAAAATCCTGTAAGTTTCATTGTAAGCTTGAAAAAAATCTCGGGTGGTTTCATTTTCCAAATATGAATTATGTGAACCCACTGCTCTTCTGCACGGATGAGCTGACCAATCACCCCTCAATCGTCAAGAATCTTCTTCACAGGAGCCAAAGCATCATCGAGACTTGAGTTCGTTAATTAATGACAATCTGATCACTGCCTATGCAGGTATATAAAATTCTTATATTCTTATAATATTAGAAATCTGATCCCATTCCAAAAAAATGCAAAATTCATACAATCACAGTTTTTGATGAGTTTCGAATTTAAGAAATTTTGAAAAATAAATCAAAGACGAACGTCGCAGAGTTTGTTTGTGAAGGAATCGCTGACAATTTTTCCACTATTACGAGCCCGAAAAATCAGTGCATAGATCCAGTTGATTGGTACCCAGTATTTATCGAAATTCAAATGGATCGAATCTAGCATTTCTCTTTCGTTCTCCAGCATGAATCCTTCAAAAACTGGCAAAATAAAATATGCAAAAAACGGGCGCGAGCAGCTACAGCACTGTTACTCGTTATCCCATGCCCAATTTTCTTATGTGTAAGTACCACAGGCTTCCAATAAAATTAACTCAGTCCACTCTCGCAAATGCCAACCGATCAAATTCTTTGATGGAAAGCTTCGTCGGCAGAAGGTGTGTTGCAGTCCATCGTCCAGCACTTCTGAAGATCTTTTACAGAAAAGGGAAAAAGCAACTGAAGTGAAAAGCTATCCTAAAAAAGTACCAGCTTTAATTATGCTGTCGTAAGTGGGGAAGCGCTTTCTTACGCGTACACTTATGTCCCTATAGACAAGCAACTGCGTCAAGCATAAATACCGAGCCATTGTTCGGCGCCATAAACGTGACTCATCGTCCTCGCCATACACATATCCACCTATATACATCGAAGTACTGAAATGTCGCTTAATAGAGTTTCAAAAAATGCCTGAAAATTGACCCCAGAATCAAACTTCCCCACTGCCTCTGCTCACTTATGGAGTCAAAGGAGAGAAGAAATAGACGTGGGAAGAGAGAGGAGAAAAGAAGAGGGGGAGGTGAAAGGAGGCGGGGGAGGAGGAAGGGAGAGAGGCGTGGTGTCCTTGTCGCCCACTTAATAAAAGCCAAAATTATTATCGCCAAAAAATTATTCGAAAAATGTTAGCAGTTAGGGAAGTGAAAAAACATAGCCAGAAGGCACAAAAGTTTGTTGAACAGAAGCAAAATTGCAGAAGTGCTAAACAGTGAAACATTAGGCCCAGAAAAATCGGTGACAAAAAATAGAGTTCTGATAAATTAGCAGAAACAATCAAAAGTGTAGAGCTGCCCAACAGCAACCTTCTCCGTCATGAAATAACGAATCTAGTGTTATTTTGTGTTGAAAGATCAATGTGTCACTGCAAAGTTCAAGTGATGAAAAGCGCGTTTGTAAAGGAAGCACACCTTTCCACATAGCCCATGTTCTGGAAAAGCACCGACCACCGTCGCACAACGATTTGTACAAAAAATCCAAGCATGAATGTCAGTGGAATATAGGTAAGATGACTGTTGAAATAATTCATCAGATTCTCGAACGCTCTAAATTAATTACTTATAATAGCCCAAGAAATGTGCAAATTATAAGTTGCTGCCATTCTCAGGAGGCGCTTGCATCATCTTTTCTTATTTCAAGATTCTAGACACCTAGTACTTCTTGCCACGAGCGTTTTCTTTCCGAAGTTTGGATGCCTTCTTTTTCTTTTTATACTTGAGCTTACCAACCACATTACCTCTCCATCATCCCTTGCATGCTTCCCTTTCCCTCCACCGCCATCTTTCTTTCCTCAGAAAAATCGAGTAAAACGGTCCACAATTATTACCGTTCTCACGATCCCATCTTTTAAGTCGCTGTCTATTACTCGAAGATGTTTCTACATTTTCCCCATTAAAAAAACCTATTTTTTTACAAAAATTAAAAAAAAAAAATTGCACACCGCTTTTTCTTCAAATTAATAACCCACACTTTTTGATCGTTGGACAAAAAATATGGTGTTCGGTAGATGAATGTGATGATAAGGAAGAGCACCGTCCATATGCAGAGCTCCTTCAGGCACAGCTTCCAAATGCTGCCCTTCCAGCGAAACACAAGACGAAAAAAATTAAGAGATGAGGCCGACGCCACATCCAAATTATACGATATCGTCATTGTCCGTAGTTCAAACAACCCTGAATAAACAGCACTGGGGTCATATCTTCATGGTATTGGATGGGTATGCTAGTCACATACAAAATATACCTGCGCTGCACCATTATCTCCTATCAGAATCAACCGATGAGAATCAGTTCCCGGCTTGCTCCATCCCGCGACAGTTTCAGTCTGAATTTGAATCTGAGGTTAACAGTTAGAGTATAATCTGGAAATCAATTTCAGTTTACGACCGTAACGATGGGGGACCAAGTAACCGAGCTGGAACACCGGAATCGGAGTCCAAATACACACGATATCACGAATTCGCCACAGTGCATTTATGATTAATGCGCATACCACAGAACGGGATCAATTCAGTAAAAGCACATCCTGTTTCTTTAACATGCACTGGTCGGGAATTCAGTCTCTACCAATAACTTTTTTCTTTTGAGGCACTCTAAAATATTTCCTTTGTGGCGAAATGTAGTTGTACCGGAAAACCCGGGAAAAGCCAGCAAAGAGCAGGTTGTCGCGAAAAGCTACATAAATAGCAAAGAACAGAAAATGTGGTAGCCAAGAAAAGAAAGTTGGATTTTGCCTTAAAAGACAATGCGCAGTAGAAATGCTCTCAGACTGACCCCGAGGTGCAAGGACCGGTGATGTAGTGAACAGCACATCACGTCCGAATGTGAAGACGAGTGATTTCAATTCATTCTCAGTCCATAACTATTTGTAAACCCAGGCTGCAACGCACCAGGCTTGCCGCTGCGATCATGCTTTTTTGCACTAAATTTGCAAGTCGCTAACAACAGGAATGGTTCATGGCTGTAGTTCAACATTTGGACTCATACAGGCTATGTTTTGATCTCTTCCGCCATGTAGGGGGAAGTAGTGTCGGCTTGGACGAAGGTATTGCATTATGGAGTCACAAGGAGCACCAGCGTGCATGACTGTCAGTTTTTTGCATTAAGTCTAATCGCTTTTCCGGTGAATGCTCGTCCACTTGGAAAATGCAAATTCGAAGGAAGACGAAAAAGAATCATAAAATTTACAAAGGCTGGAACGCACCAGGCGAGCCGGTGCGATCATGTGTTTTTGCATCAAAACTAAAGTAAA